ATATAAGTAGTACAAGAATTTTTAATGTACAATTAGAAAATGAAAAAAAATGCGAAAAGTATTAATTGATAGCCAATCAAATTTTTGCAGATTATTCTAGATTCGATTTCCGTATTTGGCAATTTCCCTGACTGGAATATAAGGATCTTACCCTTATCTGTAATACCAATCCGGCCACTTCAAACTTAACCTTAGCCACTGCGGGTTGACCCGCGGGTTGACCCACCCGTTTCTAACCGGGTTGCCAGATACTCAACCCGGGTCACCCGGGTTGAAACACTAGGTGTAGTACTCCGCAAAATCAAATATTTGATACAAATTCAAATTTTAATTTGATTTTGCGGAGCATTAGTAAAGTGCGTTTTGGAAACACTTTAAATCATATATAATGTGTTTCGCTAACGCACGTTGTCTTAGCATTTGCAAAGTTAGGTGTACAATACAACATCGATATCCAGCGACAGTAAAACTGTAAAACCCGAAACAATCAAACTATCACCTCTGAAAGTGAATACTGGCAAGAATTAAATGTCGCGACTGATGCTGAAATTGGTTGAGGCTAAAATTTGGAAGCTCAATTTAAAAACACAAAATTCACCTATATTCTTTATATATCAAATCTAACCCTAAACCCTAACCTAACCCTAAAAAAAAGGCGGAGAAAAACACCCCAAAAAAATTCTAAAATTTCATATAAAAATGGATCCAAATTTCGGCATCAGCCAATTTCGCGACATTAAATATCCTATATATATGATATTATATTCACATAAACATCATTTATTTTGATAGACTTCATATTTAGTTGATCCTAACGGATCAATTGTAAAAATTTGTAGTAATAACGTCGTAGTCGGTTTATAAAATAAAGATTATTGCGTTAAAGAATTTCTTAAATTATGAAAAAAAATATATATATAATTCAATACTACTGTATTTCAACATGCATTAGCAAAATTAGTTGAAGAATCCAGGTCTATTTTAGTCTCTGATTCAATCTGATCCAAAATTTTGTTAATATCACCTAATTGTAAGTCTTCACGACAAAATAATATTTTTGGTGGTTTACGAACACGCATAGAACGTTGAAGCATAGCACGATATTGAGTAAGATTAATACGAAGTTGTTGTTCTATGGCAGCCTTAATAAGTGTATGAACATATGTATGGCAGACAAATTAATTAGGCAATTAATTTTTAGATATTTAAATTAGAGTGTAATATTTACCTTACTGATACCTTTTTGTCCTTCAGGTTTCCACCATATTCGCGCAAATTTTGAATCTGGAGATATAGTTATCTAAAGAATAATAAAATTAACCATAAAGACACTTTCACGAAATCTTATTCTTTGTACACTTACGTTAGTAACTTTCATGAATGTAGAAGTTAAATACACGTGCGGGACTTGATCGTTACACTTAATAATAGCACGGCTTAAGCGTTGTGCGAGATTGCGCTGGATGTAACTCAAAGTTGTTGAAGCCGTTGAAGCATCGCCGCTCGTATCGTGTGTTCCTTCCTCATTTTTGAGACATTCAGATTTACGAGCAGAAATTCTTAAAACAGGCTATAAAACGCGTCAGCATATTCGTAAAATATATTATAAAGTTACGTCCTTAAAAAAACATACTTTACTTCCAAGACCTGAAGCTTCACGTGCCTCCTTTTTAAGTTGTCTTTTATTCTTTTTAATAAAATGAAGGTATCTACCTGGTATATAGTGGGTTTCTAAAATTTCGTCTGCATCATTTATAGGTGACGATTGAAAATTTGCTGATGTCTTTATTTGACGATTGAATATGCTATTACATAAAAAATTTTTGTTCAGTAAGCGGAATGTATGTCTTGTGCAAGATATCATCTTGGTAGCATTAAAAGATGTCGATGTCAGTTTATCATTATCATGCCTGTCTGTTCACGTGCGTGATTGTAGGCATATAATAATCGTCTTGAAAAAATTCAGGAAGCGACAATGGAATTGTTACAAGGAAAAGAATACTTTTCAATATTACAAAGCAATGAAATAAAGAAACATGAACATACAGTCGTACTTTGGAATATGAAGCTTGATTTAAAAGGTGGACATACAATTACACATTACTTAAAGTCATTAGAAAATAGTAATTCTGATAATAAGCAAAACTATAAAACTATAACAAGAACTTTTCCTTGCAAGAATGAAGTTCGACTAAGTGATTTAAATATTTCAAATTTGGTACGCTAAACTTTTAATTCATTTATAAATAATTTTACCCTATTAATATTTTTACATTGTTAATTTTATTAGATAATTCTCGCGCCAGCTGTACCATACCTCGTGTCGCTTCGAAAATTGTATCTTCAATATAACAAACTTACAACTATTCCAGAATCACTTTTTCATCTAAAATCTCTTGAAGAGTTACATTTACAATGCAATAAATTAACTTCGATCCCTCCTCATATTGGATTTTTAACTTCTCTTCGAGGATTATTTCTTCATAATAACCAAATTCGTAAAATACCATCGCAAATCCGCGAATGTAAAAAATGTTCTTTTATAAATCTGAATGACAACAATTTAACGTGTTTACCGGCAGAATTTTCCACCTTAGAAAATCTCAGAACTCTTCGTGTAAAAGGCAATCCTTTTGAACAACCACAAAACGTCAGTCAGAGCAAAGTTGAAGGCATTATATCAACTTTATTTGATATGTGCGTTCAAATCGTTGGAAGTACAATGTTGGAACAGGGAAAACATTTCTATTGTTCTAATAATCAAAAAGTTCCATGTTCGCAAAAGAAAAATTGCATTCATAATTTTCTTGTTAAAGATATTTTGGAACGTCTTAGTATGCCAACCGATTACCCGCCAACTATTTGTTCATGCTGTAGAGTACCTCTGTTTCAGTCAAGAATTTTTTTTAATGACTTTGAACACATTTGTGGTCGATGGGTACCTGTAAGGTTTCAATTATGTTCATATACTTGTAAGAACATTACGATGAAAAGATATTCATTAATCAATCAAAAGGATAAACAATTACCATAAAAGGATGACAAGAAACAATATCATAAACTGTCAAGGTTTACAATTAATATTAATCTTTTGAAAATAATACATGTATTTAATTTTCGATCCAAAAATACTTTAAAAACAATGAATGACAATGGACATGTTTTTTTTTTAATGAATAAAATAATATGAAAAAAAAAAACCAAATTTAAATGACTATCTATTAAAGACTATTCAGATTTCGGGTGGTTTACGGCGGTTTCAGAGTTTATACTCTCTTGAGATGATCTTTTTGGGTCATGATCCTAATTATTACAAAAATAAATGTATATTGATATTAGATAAAATTCATTTAGATTATGTTAATCGTTTCTCAAAATAATAACATACCTTAACAAAAATATGCTTACGCGGCGCAGCCCATTCTAGCATAAACATTAATAAACTAGACACCAAATAGATCTCATGTGAAATGTCATGAGTAGATGTTGTATAATACAATGTAGTAAGGGTTGTAGTTCCCCACAGAACAGAAAGAGGAATTGCAGGTTTAACAATTCCTATATTCTCAAAATGATATATGACCACAGTTATTAACTATCAATAGAAGATAAAAAATATATAAGTATCAACCGAAACAATCAAACTATCACCTCTGAAAGTGAATACTGGCAAGAATTAAATGTCGCGACTGATGCTGAAATTG